AATTTTAAACACCATACACCGAATATTGAATAATGAATTGAACAAAGTTTGAGTAGGTAGTATTGAGTTGATCCATTTAACGGGCGACGAAGTGCACGGGATCAGCTAGTATAATATATAATGTATTTTATTATATTGTCATAAAAAAAGGCTAAAATCTGAAATTATAATTTGTTTTATTTGATTATAATTTATAAAGGTTGACTTTTTTATTAGGAATAAATGGAGTGGTAATGGTAAAATAAAAGTGTTCTCTAAACTCTAGTGGAAGCATAAATTAAAAATAAGGGGAAAACATACATTTTGGGTTATCACTTTTTAGTTTTTATCGTAGAGAAAAAGTAAATTGTTAATTAGAGGTGGCTTAAAAATTTTTTATGACATATTGAGTAGTAAGAAACTGAGAAAAATTGGGTGCCAAAATGTGTGTACCTAGGGCGCCAAAATAGTAAATACGCCTCTGAATGAAGTGGACATATTTAAACTATTCAAAAATAATCAGTTATATATACAGTTATATTATATTATTGAAAAATAATTTCAGTTGGAATAAGAAAAAAACAAAATCTGAAATATTAGTAGGTAATGATTTTATCATAAAGGGGTGGTGGTAAGTATCAGCAAAAAAAAATTGAGGAATTATATATTCGTCAGATTAATTATAGTATATTTGTTTTTGTATTTAATTAATTAATATTTTATCTTTTATGTTTGTTTTGGTCGGTGGCATTGGATAAAATATAATAAAAATAAAGATAAAAATAAATTCATCAACTACTAAAACTCACCCACATGTATTGATCTACGTTAAGTTGTAATCTTACACAATTGTTATCATTATACCGTTAAAGTAGGTACTAATGTCCTATATTATGCTATAACATTTAACATATTTTGGAACATTTCTTTTATTGAAAATAAACATAGGTAATAAGGTCAAATTAAATAAATAATAATATATTAATGGGAATGGTGGATATGGGGGGATGCTTCCCCCCATAAGATAATTTCACTTTGCGAAAAAAGTACAGTGTTCCAAATTTCAAAAACGAGGTTCCAATTAGATCAAATATGTTAAAAAATATTGATTAAGGTTCCAGGCTGATAAGACAAAGTTTGGGGCTGCCCTCCCGACCGAAACAATTTTTACTGGGAAAAGTATGAGGTTCCAATAAAATTAGTTCCAAAATCTTTAAATGTGTGAAGTAAAATTGGCAATGTGGTGGGGGGAGGCAACTTCAAGTAACTCAATAATAATGGAAATTTTATTTTGGACATTCATTGGTTTTCATTAACCGTTTTTTATGTTTACTTGCCGATCACATTAAACGAAAAAATTTGAATAAAAAATTATACGTATCATAGTCCGAAAACAAAATAAACAACCAATCACGGGAGAAGCTGTGACGGGTCAGCTAGTATTATTATACAAATATCAAAAGTATATACCAACCTAAATAAAATAATTTGATACATCGCATCCTTGAAATTGACATAAATATTGTTTACAAGTTATAACTACTTATAAGTGTACATATTATAATTATAATCTGTACCTACCTAATCTATCCAATTATCCAAATATGTGTTGAGATTAAAATTATCCATATTATATAATTGATATTTGATATAGATCAATTAATTACATAATATTTTGATCGTGCGTAACATTTATTCTATATTATAATATTACAGTAATTAATAATAAAAAAAAAAATAGGAATATGCTACGTATAAACAGTTTTTAGTCCGTAAACCTCACGCGGTCATCATCTTGAAACACGTTTAATAACAAATAGTAAAGTATGCATTAAAATATTTAGATGTATATTATGTATATTATCTATGTAGCATATATTTATAGCCAGTATAGGTTTATAATATTAAATATAATGAACTGTACGATTTTGATGGCAAATCTGGTTTGGTTTTAATTAATTTACCATTGAATACGAATAGTGCGTGAACCGTTAACTATATCATATTTATTATAAGAGAAAGTGTATGATACCTTTATAAATATATTATATAGCTATAATTCTTATTGGTACTTATCTATATATAATAATATATCATATATATCTAATAATATATTAGCCATTATTATAGGTAGGTATTAATATGGCATACATTATACATAAACACGATTACACATTTTGTTTTATTCTTGTCAGACAACCTTTGTATATAAATATGATGGACTAAAAATTAAATTAATAAAGACAAATGCATGTATTCAATAGCTAATAAAACAAAAATAGATAATTTGGTGTCAGTCTAGTTTGGTTCTAATTCTAAATCTAGTTTTACTTGGGGTTTCGTATAGAAACAACGGAAATTACGAGTATAGTTGCCAATTGGCCTGTGGAACATTAAAATACATTCTTTGAAATAAATCAGGATTTTCAATGTATAGCCATTTAAGTATAGGTATACACAAAAAATACACCATTGCTTATAGATTTCGTCGAAGCTCAACTGTTCGGATTAATCGGTCAAATTAAGTTTATGCGCCACCATTCGAAATAAAAGTCGTAATTTTACATTTTATCTATAATAGACTTATATAGTTAACTAGGGTTTCAGACAACTGATCTAAGTTCGAGGCGACCAGTGCATAAAAGAAAGTTATTCAATTATTCATGATTTATTTTATTAAGCCCTAAATTTGTATACTCTTGCACAAATGCTATTTAGGTGCATCGAAAGTAAGATCCCTGATCCGATGATGATAAAACACCAGTCCCTAATATTGTATAGGTACCGATACCAATTATACTCGCTATTAATTACGTATTCGACTATCATGTTAGGTTAGGTATATTAACAAAATTGGGTTGTATAAACTATATTAATATGGTGATTTTTTGTTCACAACTGTTTATATTAATGAAAACCGTGCAGTAGATAAATGTTATCGAATGATATTATTATTGATGGGCATAACTTAACCATTTTAACCATATATGAATGGTTAAGAAATTAAAATATTTGACTTCAAATTAGTATTTTGAAAAATGGAACCCTACCATATGGCCATAATATTGTCCTTAGATATTAAGATATGCTATACTGAAAGTTATACCTGTATATAAATACGTTTGTAATACTGGCTACTGGCTAGACAATTATGTATTTAATATTTAAGCCTTAAGGGGACGTTACAGTGATATTTGTTGTCTCCGTCTTACAAGTGCGTAACAGCAAATTTTACGCTCAGTAAAACACGTTTATCTCCCTTTAGTTTAAAAATTAGAGCGAATTGACCTCTTATAAAATTTAAAGGTAAGATTATTATCTAGAAAATGCCATAGGCTTTTTATTATATTTTAATTTAAAAACGAATTATGAGTATTTCAAGATGTACAAACAGTTTTCAATTTAAAAATATACATAACTCGCTTTAAAATTAAATTATAATAAAAAGCCTATGGCATTTTCTAGATAATAATCTCACCTTTAAATTTTATAAGAGGTCAATTCGCTCTAATTTTTAAACTAACGGGAGATAAATGTGTTCTGATGAGTGTAAAAGTTGCTATGTTACACTACTTACACACTTGTAAGACGGAGACAACAAATGTCACTGTAACGGCCCTTAAGTATAACAGCTTATATATATATTGCCATTGGCCATATATATTGCTATTTACATATTATTGCCTATATAGGTATTATAATGGTTAGATATTTTTACAAAATAAAAAATATAGGCATATATTATAATAGTTCTCAATGGACCACCGGTCAATTTGTGTGCAATTAATACATTTTTAAATCCTACTTCACTATTGAAAGTCCCTCTTAAAAATAACCATGAAAGTCGCGGAATACCTGCAAACATGTTTAGACTTTGGAAAACGTTTCACTGAATACAAAATACTGCAGTAGTGCAGTTATTACATTTTTCATCACAAAATAGGAAACAATGTATTCATTTTTTTTAATGTAGGTACCAAATACATTTCTATAGGTACCCTATAATTACTTAAATCTAAAAATGAGTATATAACTTACATAGGTACCTACTTGTGGAAAATACTGCAAATACATTTTTTATCTAAAATAAATTTTCCCCGGTGATGTTAGCTACTCAGCTACAGTAGTATATCTACCTATTATAGATTCCTGTAGGCTACAGCTAGGTTGCTCCGACATGCCACCAGCCACCGCCAAATCTTCTATCTGAGCGCTCGTAACTATATAACATGGCCAACGATAGCTCTATAATACGCATTTTGAACTTTTTAAAAGATATAATTGCAAATAGTTTTAATTGAAATAAAATAAAATGTTAGATATTATTTATGTAGTCTATATTGACTACATTTGCTCATTTTGTTTTTGTTATTTTGGTTTATGACCGGATACAAAGACCCCTAGCAAATAGTATAATATTCTAAAAACTGTTTCAAATTGTGAAGAATGATGCTACCACCTCAATATATCATCGTATGTGTGTTTAATAATACCATATATGCGTATTATATTCCCCTGCAGACCACACATAGCTTATTTGTACGTCGCCGTGGCCGCATAGTAGTATTGGACCAAGGACGACGAGAAAAAATGCAAAACAAGCACATGGATTTGGTGTGCAGTCCACAATTAAATAACATATAATAGTTATCATTATATGCGTACCTATCTATATGTATTTCATACAAGATGTATATATAGGTAGACAAGAAAAATTATCGTTTATTCAGTCGCTAGTTTTATGTAGACGTATAGGTACTATATGGGCATCGGCTCGATCCATATACCTATATATAATATATATCATATGATAAATCTATGTTGAGTAACTATATGGTAGTCCGACCGGGTCCCTTGCTTATATAATATATATTATATAGTTCTATTAAACTATTAAATACCTATTTTATGCATGTGCCATTTTTTGTATTCGATCCGCATGTAAATAAATACATATAAGTACGAGAATCAGTCGAAAAACTAAACGCATTTACGGTAATTAATACCACGAGGTATACATAATGGCGCCGAAATTTGTGACGTTTATGTTTTTGATGTGTTACGTGATCGTGAAAAATGTTGAATCGGCTAAGCTCCAAGCTCTACCATTACGTAAGTAATATATAAATATATATAATCATAAAATAACAAAATAATATAAATAAATAGGTAACACTGAACACTCACTAATTAGTAATTATTATGCACAATTAGTTAACTGATTCAAAAATGTTTTAGAGTGGGTACCTACTCACGGGCTACAAAAAATGTAATAATATTAAACACAGATTAAAATCATTTTTTTTTTTTTTTGTGCATCTTCGATCTTTATTTCAGCACCCCCTAGCCCAAGAAGTCAAAAATATTTCAATAAAATGTAGCTAAAAATGAAAAATAAAATTCCGAATATTTCATTCTACTTAATATTAGTGAAGGGCGTGATCACGGGGGTTGCAATATCCCACTTTAGTTTTTTTTATTGCTTACCTTCAATCTTTCATGAACTTTGAACATGAACGGGCAAACGAAACCACAATAACTTTTTTGTAATTTGAACCCAACCATTATTTTTGAATACCAACCATTATTTTGTAACTTTTATCATTTTAATTTTCTTTAAGATAATTTCTATTTTGGGGGACGAGGTGGCCGAGCGGTCTAAGGCATAATCGGTTGGGTCGCCGGTTCGATTCTCGGCCACTGGGTGGCATTTTTCTTCGGGAAAGTCACAGTGCCCGGAGAACAAGTGCCGCCATCCCCCACCCGGGGCATGGCAGAAACCTACGGGTGCTCCACTAGTAATTCTGCCACAACACAGCCACGTGTTAACAACCTACAGTACCACAGGCTAATGACCAATTTTGTCGAAGCTTCAACCTTAATAAAAAAAATTTTTTCTATATTATGCTACTCATTTAAAGTGAATTGAATCTTTTAAGCTATTTTAGTTATTTGACTGTTTAGCCTGATCTTTAAAATCAAATATTATAAAAGTAATGAGAAATATTTTTTATACAATATTAATTATCATGTCTCAAATATTAGTGATTATTTCTGTACAAAGAAAAATGGTGATGATAACCATTTGTATAAAAGTTAGTTAGCCTACCTTACTTTACAGAATTAATTAATTACCCCTAAAATAATTAGAAATTCACATTTCATAGGTATAAATAAGTGAAATTATTTGTATTTGGGACTTGGGTTAATTAAATAGGTAACATCAATAAAATAAAATATTATTATCACCTGCCATAGTAAAAAGCTGTGGCCTTGTGTACGCCTCTGTTTGAGTGGAATTTAAAGCTATGTATAAGACTGATGGAAAATTAAGTAGGTACCTAAATGCCTTCAAAAACCTAACTCTGCTAATTAAATATGAACTTTAAATGCCAATACTAATTTAACCTATCCGGCTGTCTAGTTTATCTTGTTACTCAACAACCGTTATGATTTTTAAAAAAATGGTGGCTTGAAAACTATATTATAGTGTATAGGTTTAAAAAAAAAAGGCCCATGGAGGATACATCGCTTGTCACCCCATTGCGCACACCACTGTATATGAGTATACCTAACATAGATAATACACCTAACTAGTTAGTAGATATTTAAAGGACACAACAACTTGAAATCTAGTTATTAGTTTCTAGACAAGAATATAAAATGCAATTAAACATAAATATTTTGTCAAAAATTATAGTAAGTAGATTACAATAAGTACATAACTATAGCATGTATGCAATGCAAATTAGAAGTTTATTTTAGAATTTTATATCTATATGGCCATACCTATGCTACCTACTACCCAGTTTTTATCTGAATCATGATCAGGAAATTCAACACGTGTAAAAATAACATCTTTATTAATTTGATTAATTCTATAACAGAAGCTTTTGTTTTCGTTATATAATAATATACATTGCAAAAGATGAGGGACTTCTTAAGGAGAATTCTCCCTAAATTCAAGAACTGGTCGTATGTATATTATATTGACATAAAAAAATATGACCATGTCTTAAAATAAAAACGGTTTTTTTTTTATTACATATAATGATATAACTATATCTATAAATATAGATAGTCCATAACGTGTATCCCAGCTTATTAGTTAGCATATTAGTTGTTTAACATGTGTAATAATTATGGTTAGTATAATCAATAATACAGTATATGTTGTAACTCGTAGGTATTGAAAGATGTTTGTAGTTTGTTTAAATATGTATAAGATACGAATATACGATGATGATCTCTTATAAAGAAATACAGTTGGTATTAACTGAGGTGTTGTAGAAATTATTTTTCTTAAAAAATAAATCAAGGTAGGTCGTGGGCATATGATATTTCAATAACTTAAATGAACTTAAACATAGGTACATTAATAAAATAGATTAATAATCCCTGATCTAATATTTAGTTGTGGTCATGACGCTGTCGAGTTATATATCTAATACACTAATACAATATTACACTTCTGAGGATATACCTATAGCATAATATAATTAATAATAATTACATTTTAAATTGTATAGGGTTAATATTAAAATAAAAAACATGAAGATGACCTTGTTAAAATGGCCGAGACCATAGGCGTGTCTACGGGTCTTGCCTGTTATGCACAGGCATGACCTGCAAAATTTGATCTAACTTACATTATAAATTGCGGTACATAATAATATACACTTTTTTTCTTAGATTTTGATTTCATATTAAATTTTTTGATTTTCATCATGTGGACTTTTAATATCTATAACAATTGTTGAAATTTTTTTTAGGGGGTGGGGGGTGCAGAAACCTACTTCCCCTCAATATGCCACTACTGTGCATGACCTGCGAACAAGGTCTGGACACGCCTATGGGCCCGAGACCATACAAAATATATATGATACCACTTTAAAGTTAATATAAAATTAACCTCATTATAATTAATTTCAAACATGTAGGTATGTGTTACACAATGTTTGTAACTGTTCATCAAAAAAAAAATTACAAAAATAAATACTGACATTGACATATTTTGAAAATACGTTTGGCTCAAGGCGGGCTACGAAGTACGAATAACGCTATTAATTATATTTACAACGATGATCTTTAATTTATCAAATATTAGATCAGTAATTATATTTTATAAACTATCTTAATTGTATACAATAATATATTAATATTCATTGCAATTTATTCCTCGATATTAACCATCTAGTTCAAGGGTCAAAGAATTATCATTGGCGCAACTGGGAGGGGGGGCTTAGCCTCCCTGACTAAGCCACCAAAAATATCCCTTATTGATTTAGATATAGGCCCCTTATGGGTTATTTAAAATAAATAGTTTTGTAAGTTGAGCAGTAACCCCCCCCCCAGAATTTTAACGCTAGCTGCGCCTATGAAGCACATTTCTTATATCTATATAATATTATATATAAAAATAACTAAATAGCTGTATAATATAATCTTGATTTTGCTCTTATAATTTAAATACCTATATGCAATCACCAAAAATTTTAAATGATAAAAAAAAGAATTGAAAATAGGTGGGCTATGTGAGTATTTCACTCTTCTGTACATTAATTTTTTTGCGAATCACTGCAATGGATGTGTTAAATTTGAATTCAATGATATAAAATAATATTGTAGCATTTGTATCTATAGGTATACGGAAAACGATTCTGAGCAAAGACGAGTTACTAAGTCTATTTTATTATATTAATGTTATTAAAGTAATTTATTTTACTATTAGTGAAACAGTAGGTTGAATTCATTTTTGCCAAAAACATTTCATGTGATATACTTAAAAAAATTAAAGTACCGTAATTAAAGTTCATATTTTTACAATATTGGATATTTACTCGATTTCTCATGTAGCGGTTTTGTTATTTTATTGTTATTCAAAAACGAATAACTGTAGATACATGAAAATTTTCCTCAATGTTTATATTTTCATTTTCTATACACCAAAAAAAATTTGAAAATACTTTGATTCTTTTTGAGCTGTTTACTAACATTGTCGGTTTTCAATTTTCTTAGTTTTTTATTCTATAAATATCAATAAAATTTTATTTGTTGAGTAAAAAAGCGTGAAAATTTAATGCAAGGCTCCTGTTATATTTTAACAATAGCAGTTGAAAAATATTAAAAATACATAGGCACAATTTTTTTTATAAGCATTTAAAGTTCTAATTTTGACAAAATGTATCAAATTTAAAATTTAATAATTATTTTGTAGGTAAAAATGTATAAAATGATCAACTTTTATAGCTGAGGATTGAAAATTTAAAACAATGGTCCACTTAAATAGGTATAAATATATAAATTACTTTGTTCACAAATCATAATAATATCATAAAATATACTTAGTAATACCATAGGCTGATTGACCGTTTTAGCTCAGAATCGTTTTTCTTATACAATGATATTATATCATTGAATTCAAATTTAACACCATCCATTACAGTGACCCACTTGTACATACTGTACCTTGTGTACAGCGGACCGACTTTATTTTGTTAAATGTAGGTTAACTTATGAGTTATGAGGAATTTTGTAATTAACTTTAAAATCTTATATGTAAATAGAAAAAAATGTATGCATTTCTAAATCAAAATAATTTTGTGATTTTCACGAATTTTGCCAAAATTTTACCTCCAGAAGCTCATGATTGTGGATTCACTCTCAAAATATTTTTTAATTTCCACTTACTAAAACTTATGAGGAACATTGTGTTAAATTTACAAATTTTTTGACAAGGTGAAAATTTTTTATCAATAAAAAAAACTAATTGAATAAAAATGTTATATTGCCTATTAATAGCTCAAAACAGTCAAAATATTTTTTAAATTGTATGGTGTATAGAAAAGATAATATAAACAAAGAGTAAAAAATGTAATCTACCTACGGTTATTTCTACATCTAAGACCAAAATCAATTTAGTCAAAAACTGATTTTGAGTAAAATGTCCAGCTTTTCTCTCGGTGGTTTCAAAAACCATTTTCATCTCTCAAATGCACCAACTAGATTCACTTTAATTCACTCTACCAGAAAAGTTACTGAAATTGAAAATTAAAGGATTATTTTGACTACTTATTATACACACACACACTCACACAAAAAACACATATTTGTAAAATCATTACATTCATGGCTCTTGGAATCTAAAATATAAATTAGTTAATTTTAAAGTATTATTCTTATTTTTTTTTTAAAACCATATAAAAAGACTATTACTATTAACTATATATTATACATATATATATATTTATATAATAACTAGGTATACCGTATACGTAATTTATTCAGGGCCGATTTCACCAACACAGTTAATCACGGTTAAAGTTAACCGGAGTTTTAATCGGCCGAATTTGGCTGGTTAAATATCTGTTATCAGCCGATTAAGCGTTAACCGTGATTAACTGTGTTGGTGAAATCGGACCTCAATGATTTCAATGGGACTGAAATCAAAGTGATGAATTATTATATAATAACATGCCTACTAATACTACTATTAATTATTATTATATATATAAAATAAATGTTAAGAGGACGATACCCAAGCGTTTATTGTCTACGTCTTACAGAAGTGCAACATGGCAAATTTTCATTCACTAGTTTCAACAGTGTGCTGATAGTTTTGATCATAGTGAGAACTGGCCAATTATCAAACTTGTAGGTAAGAACCGTGATTAAGCGTTGGCGAGTTTTTCGAAATTTTAATTTTCAAGCAAAAAATTGGTATGTAAAATATCTCAAATTAAAAATGCTTATACCTCGCTAGAAAATCAAAATATCGAATAAAAGTTGAAGCTCTTAAGCACGGTTTTTACCTACAAGTTTGATAATAGATCAATTCACCAACAGCACACTACTGAAACTAAAGAACGAACATTTGTTATGTCGTATACGTGTGAAAGAGGGTGACAAAAAATGCATGGGTAGGGTTCTCTTTTAAGGATGAATGATGAATGTGTTTTTTACGGTTTTATAAACGGTTACAGCTTCGTATATCGGTAAGGGCTGTCTGAGGGACGACCCAAACCTAAACGAATGCGTCGTGCGCAAAGGAGCTCCGGTAATTGAGCGTTTAGTTAAAGGTGACCCAAAGTACCGGATACCGAAGTTAGATCCTTTGGTCATACCAGAGTTAACAATCAATCAAGGTACCAAACAAGTGGGTCTGACGATGACGTGCAAAAACTGCGAGCTGCACGGACTTAAAGAGACACGATTCGTCAAAGCCAGGTATGTAAATATTGTTTGAAGTATGAGAAATATTTCATTTTGAAATATTTCACTAAGTTGTGAAATATTTCACAAAAAAGTGAAACATTGAAATTTTTTTTAACACAAATAAAAACACAATTTATTTATTTTTTTAACACAATGTTCAGTGTTCTAAATTCTAATGTCAGAATTCAGTAAGTAAACAAGATACATGTATAATATTGTATACTTACTTGTATCATTTAAACATTAAAATATTTAAAAAATTTGAATACCAATTCAAATGTATAATACCAAAGGTTAGGTATACATACAGGTACCATATAGTGATGAAGGTAATTTATGACAATTATATATAAATATAAAACTTATTTAAAAATAAAACAAAATATATTAAAATACTGAAATATTTCACATATTTTGAAATATTTCATTTTTTTAAATTTCATGAAATTTTCAAACACTATATGTAAACAATGTTATAAGTTTTGACTCACACATTTATATAACCTCACAACGGTGATGTATCAAATGCAGAAAACTGATAACAGAGTAAATAATTGAATTAAAAATGTATAATTGAATTCGGTGAACAAATGTGAGTCAATACAACTTGGTAGTCGCATACTTATCATAGACGATAGATATGTCATGGAAATAAATTGTTATCATTACGATAGAAATAATTTCTATAATGGTTACCATCATTCATCATTTTTATTTAACAGTTGTAATATATAATTTCATGATTATGTACCTACTCAGGATTCAGGATGTATATTTCAATTATGAAGTATCGACGGTTAAGAGACATTATGTCTTAAGAATACATGCATTTGTATACACAATGATACCTGCCTAATCTTAAATTTAAAACTTACAAAAATTAATTTATAAATACCTTTTACGATATGACTGCCTTGTAAGCGAACGTGACACCGACACTTCGCGTGAAAACATAAAATTATACATAAGTACATAACAATGGGAAGAGTATACATAATAATGTAGTACCTAAAACTTAAATTAACATGATTCAACAAAATGTAAGAATATTATTTAAAAAAAAATCTACATATTATTATTAAATGATTCATTTAATACTTTAGTAAAAATTCATCCTCTCAAAAAGTAAATATTTACGTTTTTGGAAATACTTTTTTTTTACATAAGTCATTCCAAAACCACAGAAAAATTTATGATTTTTATCGTTATTATTTTTAAGTTTCTTAATTTTTAAAATGACTACATAGATGCATAATTTTGTATTTCGAATTAACATAATTTTATAAGAATTTTATAAACTTATTTTATCACTTTTTGAGTAAATGTATGGCGTTAACTTAAACATCACCTTGTATTTGAAAATTATTGTATTTATAGAGTGGATGAGAAAAAAAAACACGTTGAATGGGACTTTGAACTCGATCAATGTATGTTTTTGGGACAATATTCAGTTTCAGGACAAGTCCTGATATTGCCGATCAAAGGCGACGGAGACGCCAATATCACAGTCAGTAAGTACTGTTTAAGAATTTGGTTTGTTATTGTAAATTGACTTGTAAATTACTGTACATAACACCATAGATAACTACATTAAAATTAGAGATATAGGATATTTATTACCAAAAAAACAGCCAACAAATGCCATTAAAACATAGGTATTATAATAACAACTATTGTCTAGCTTTCGTAATCATTGAGTAAAAGCTTTTCCGATGTATATAAAAAATAACAACTATATAAAATAGTGCACTGATATTGAGTCTAATACATATTTAATTCCTACTATAAATAATTAAAAGATAACCATAAATCATAATATTATGTTCAGTGTGCAGGAGTGCAGCATTTTTGTGCTGTGGTTGCAGTTAGTTAGATTTTAGTGAAATTGAAAAAAAACCCATAATTAGTTCCTACCTATGCTTAAAAAAACATGATGCGATAATATTAAGGGGATGTATACAATTTAAAGGTGAGATTATTATCTAGACAATGACATAGGATTTTTATTATGTTTTAATTTTAAAGCGAGTTGTGTATTTTAAAATTGAAAACTGTTTGTGCATCTTAAAATACTCATAATTCATTTTCAAATTAAAATATAATAAAAAGCTTATGGCATTTTCTAGATAATAATCTTATCTTTAAATTTTATAAGAGGTCAATTCGCTCTAATTTTTAAAGTAATGGAGATAAATGTGTTCTGATGAGCGTAAAAGTTGCTATGGGGGACGAGGTGGCCGAGCGGTCTAACGCGTCGTCTGCGGCGCTGGCAGTCGCGGGTTCGACTCCCGGCCACTGGGCGGCATTTTTCTCCGGGCAAGTCACGGTGTCCGGAAAACAAGTGCCGCCATCCCCCACCCCGGGGCATGGCAGAAACCTACGGGTGCCCCATTCAAAATTCTGCCAAAATACATCCACGTGTAACACCCCCTACCGTTAAATAACCTACAGTACCAACCCCTCTCCCAATGGCCTAAGTTGCCGCGGGATAAAATTAATAAAAAAAAAAAAAAAAAAAAAGTTGCTATGTTACACACTTGTAAGACGGAGACAACAAATATCACTGTAACGTCCCCTTAACGATTTAGTTTGTCTTAAACATCTTGTAGGCTAAAGGGAACAGACCAATAGAAAAATTGCATTTATTAATATGATATGTACAAACTAGGTACAAAATTAAAAATATACCTTAAATATTCATAAAAAATGCAAAAAATAGAAAAATTACAAATATTCTAAATCGTACAATGAACCTAATAATTTTGTTAGCATGTGTATAAATTGTAAGCACGTCTTATAAAATTGAAAGTCATAAAAATTCTATCTCTTATTATTATAATACTTATAGTGCTGTTATCCGTTTTGTTAGAAAATAATTGTATTTTATAAATTCTTTAGACGGAATAACGTTTACGTATTTGTACGACTACGATCTAGTCAAACGAGCGAATGAAAGAGACTATGTTGATATCACCAAGAGTGAATTGAAGTTCAATGCTAACGGAATGAAATTGAAATTAGATAATTTATTCAACGGAGACAAGCTTTTGGGTAAGTGCACATGATATAATACATTGTAATCTATATATTTTCATGCGTCATGCAATTGTTGTGGATTTTTATATATCATTCAACAAATTAAAAAATACTGAAAACTATACAGTATAGCTATATTATTATACAAGTTGTAATATACATACATTAAGATACTCGCATAACAAATTATTTTAGTAATATATTGCTGTAGGTACCTCTTAATAATACCTCGTAATATTATTTAATTTAATAGTATTTCAAATAGGTAGATACACTTTTTTTTATTAATAGAGCATATAAGTTATCGAGCAGGATAAAACAAAATGTAAGACCTTGTTAATTCGCTTTTTACCAAATTCTATATGTATATTAAATTACCTAACTACCGAACGTATTTATATATTTATGTCGAAATCTAAATAGAAGATAACCTTGTCAACAATTGTATATAGATATAGTACTATAGTAGGTTGTAGGTATACAATAAGTACCTATAAATTACACAAATCTATGTCATTACATAAATGGCTAAACATATTATAGGCAAAACGCATATTTAGTTAACACAGTTATTTCATACACATATTATAATAATATTATATGTATATTTATTATTTATAAAAATTTGTATACAAGTACCTACATTTTATTATTACACAACTGAAAACACTGAACAATGAATATTTATATATTACCAGTCACCAGGTAATAATATATATTAATATATATATTGTAATTTTTAGAGCACCAAGCTTATATAATATATTAAGGTTTTTTTTACAAGTTTTTATTGCACTAACCTACTTTTTAACATCAGAAAAATAATAATTTCAGTAAGAAAACTGAAATGTGAATCAGTGTTTGTAGGAGTGACTCGGGACTCGGTGGCGCACACTAAAAAATAAATAAGGGTAGCATATTGAATCAGTCAAGTACCTCTATATTGGGTAATATGCTAATGACTATATCCTATAATTATTCAATAGTTTATTTTAAATTTTTTTATACATAATAGAATTTTTACGATCTAAATATTTTGGGGCCAGAGTCCACCAAAAAATCAGACGTAGCAGCTGCTACCTTTAAACCCTTAAGTGTGCGCCACTGGAGGCACTGTAAGTACTATGTATGTACTATTGAAAGAGAGCAGGATTCAATAATTATTACATTTACGTACGAACGTACCTATATATTTTAAATGTTTTAGACTTTAGTGAAGCCTGCATAATATTATGGCAGATAGAGAGTCGTATTTTTAATGGTCCCTTTTCATTTCGTACATTTCAGGAGATAACATGAACCTTTTTCTAAACGAGAACTGGCGGGATTTACTGAAAGAGTTTGGACCTGCCATCGGTGACGCGTTCGGAACGATAATGAAAAACACGCTGGGATCGGTGTCTGACCTAGTGCCGTACGACTTTATTTTTCCAACTAGTTAATTTATACTTCGTTTCTACTTCTCTGTTATTATTTATTGTTATACATATTATATATTTATATCTAGTGTTTTAAGTCTAGTATACCTACCTACTTACGTTGTATTGATGTGTAATATTAGATTAATTCATAGTAACTATATTATAATGTAAGCAGGTTCGGATGCTATAATTAATTATAGACCATAATATAGCCGACCAAGACCGGATTAAGGGGGGTCCAAGGGGGGCACGGTCCCGGGGCCCATATTTATCCCCAAAATATATTTTTTTTAAAGCGTCCAATACAGTTTAAAAAAAAAAATATATGTAAGTAGGTATGTACTACTATATGTAGGTAAATTAATATTAATAATATTATAAAACATAATTGTTCTCAATTTTATATCACGAAAAATTACTATAAATAATAAACTATGTTTGCCAACTATTTTGTTTGTTTTTTTGTTTTGAGCATTTTAGATTACCGATTTAATTAAAATATATAAAAAGGTAGTTATAAGAAAAAAAATTTTAGCTCTTGTAAATAAGGTGTTTCAGTTAAAAGTATTTATGCATAATATTATACTAAAACATATCATATTTTTCCACCACTTGAAATATATGATTTCTAAACTATTTGAATGATAATTCAAAAATTAACAAAATGTACATATCAGCTTCTGCAATCATTCCACAGAGTTAATAACCTAGTGAACCAAAATGGATCATTATACTGTAAAAATTTTCAGAAAAAAAGTTTTACCAGAATTCATCAAAAAATAATATAGTGGTTACCATTTGAAAAAATAAAGTCAATTTTATTATTGGTACAACTGTTCAAAAATTTTGAAAATGTTATAAAATAATTTCCTATTAAAAATAGGAAGCACGTCTTTTTTTGTTTTAACGAAATTCCATAGTTGTTAAAAAAAGCCGCTTACAATGACATAAGATACATTCTGTATACATTTTTTATAGTAAAAATTATACAATAATATAAAGTCGTTAATATGTAATGTCTGTAATGAATAAAATGATACAATTATATTGAACCTAAAGTTGAAAGGGGGCCCACTAAGAGTATGGTGTCCCAGGGCACATTTAATCCTTAATCCGGGCTTGCAGCCGACCACTATAAGTGTCAAAATCAATCATTATTTTTATAAGTGTATACCTATATAATATATTATAAATTAGTGAATATTTACTGATTAACTACATACATTTTTCATGCACTATACTATACAATAAAGCAACTGCAGCAATATTTTTTTTTAATTCCTCATCTAAACACAACTACCTACAAATATTAAATAATGATGAAATAATAGTTTGGTAGGTTATACTACTTATACTATTAAACAATTACAATTATTAGGTATCAACGATATCTACAAGTTCCTAATTTTATCTTTTTTCTTATAAAATAACATTATAACGCATAAGGTGCCTATTTTATATTTTTAGGCCATAGAAAATATAAATAAATAATTTAAATATACTACTAATAGTAAAATATAAAAATATAAGTTATTAAGGAAAGTACATGGTTCAATTTTCAGAATTGTCACAATAGCTAGAGCTAGATACTTAGTAGCATCGACTAAACCTTCATAAATCTTTCACCTGCTGGCTGCCGTTATATTTTTAATGAAGATACTATACAATAATATAGGTACCTAGGGCACTATTGTTTAAAATGTAGTTTAAAATATTATACATTATTGTAACAATATGTAACAATAAGAGTATAAGATCTATCATAAATATAATATAAATCCGTGTTTGAAATTTTTTTTACCTATGCATAGCTAAATTTGGATTGTCTACTGTCTAATTAGCATTACTTTCTAGAATAAAACTGATAACACATGTCTGTAAAATCCTCTACAAGAAATATAGTACCTATATAGTTATATACCTATATTAATTGATAATATCTAATAATAGTAATAAATAATAATATAAGTAGTTAGTAGGTATACCAAGAAGAAGTGTTAACAATTATAATATAATATTGTATTTATTTATTATAATTTTGAAATATATATTTTTAAATTGCAGTATCTAAATGTCGTCTTTTATAGTTCATAATCTATCCTCTAACCATATAAATGTGAAATGAAAATCCTTCTACAGGGTTAGTTAACTCTGGAGCTACTTATCAGATTTTCTTGATTTTTTTTTTAACGAAAGAGTATATCACGGAGAAGGTTTCCATGAAAGAAAATTTTAGGAAAATCCACCGGAAAAGTAGGAAATCTGGATGTCAAAAATACAACAGTCTTAATACATGTGTCTATAAAAAAATTAACTAAATAATAAAATAAAAATTTAGTTTATTGGTGCAGATTAAAACAATAATAGTGTATTGGTTGATATTGGTTAATCGGGCATGTTTGTTGATTTTTATTATTATTTTTTGTCAATATATATAATAAAACTAGCTGATCCCATGCACTTCGTTTCTCGTTAAATGTACTAACTCTATCTATGACTCAAACTTTTTTCAATTAGTTATTTAATGTGGTATTGTGGTATAATTTAAAATTGACTTTTCTGTTGCCTGGAATACAAATTCTAATTCGCAGACAGTATATTATCAGGTAGGCAATCTATCTATGGTAGATCACGGACCCCGTGCTGTTTGTACGTAACTTTATAATTTAACTCTTAAGTATCAAAGTTATAAAAAATATGTCACTGAACTCCTCTTAAACGGCTGGACTAATTGGGAATGCCGAGTCTATCGACCAATATTTCCTCCTCGTCAGAGCCGTATTCAAGGGGGGGGGGGGGGGCAACAAGGACATTTTCCCCGGGCGGCCAATTTTTGACACATTTAGAGGGGCGGTCAGGCGCCGGTGAACATTATATAAATAAATTTTTTTTTTTTTTGGTAAGAATTTGTTTGAGTACCTCTTTAGCTCTATACTTGGACTTTTTGCATTGCATGACTATGATACGGCCATTTGGAGTAATTTACTCATTTTGTCAATCAATGATAACGATTCATTTTGGTAATTTTTTTAAAGATTATAATTGTATATGTTGTTATACATTTTGATAATAATTAAAATGATGTATCATCGTGATCTGTGTTCTTAACAAAATGTTCATAAATAAAGAACTACAACTAAACAATTAAAAACTGATAAATTTTTTTTTTTTTTGGGGGGGGGGGCGGACATATATTGTTGCCCGGGCCTCAAAAATTGTAAATACGGCCCTGCTCCTCGTCCACGAAGACGTGGCTCAATATTTACGTAATTGCGATACATATAATATCAAAACAAAGAATACAAAAAAATTAAATGCATTGAATGAATACACTGATTTCACGGCAACCAATAATTATTTTTATAATAGTTTTAAAACCCATGGCAACCATTTATAAACAAAAATTTCCACCGTAAATCTCTAAATCATAATTTGAGCAAATCAACTGGTTGGACATAGGGGGATGATTTGTGAATCTAAACAATCCGAGGCCTTCCCCAAACGCATACATAAAAATTCATTTTAATAGGTCCAACCGTTTAGGATCAGTTCAATCACAACACACGTACCAGTAGAATTATAAATATAAAGATAAAAATTAATTTTTGTGTGTACATATGAGACCCCTGGGAAGAAGATAGGTTAATTTAAAGAGTTAAATTTGTTTTTTTATTCATCGGATTTTAATACGGTTAGGTTAGGTTTTTCTTATGCAATGATATTATACCATTGAATTCAAGTTTAATACAATCCATTATACATTGACCCTCTTGTAACCTACTGTACACCTGCGGGTCACTTTACATTGAATTATTATAGCCCCCCTAAAAATTCAACCAAATGTCTGCGTACGGTGTCATCGTGTTCGTGGGAATAATATTGATTTGATCAATTGATGTAGATACAAGATACTAGATAATGATGTATGGGTATATCTATACTAATATTATAAAGCTGAAGTTTATTTGGTACGCGCTAATCTCAGAAACTGCTGATTCGAACTTCGAATTGAAAAATTATTTTTGTGTTGTAGTCCATTTATCGGGGAAAGATATATGCTGTATAGTATATAACATCCAATAGGAGCCCCGGGAGGAGCTCAAAAAGGGATTTGGAGATTTCAATTTACGATGGAAATGTTTACTTATAAATGGTTGCTATTGGTCATAGAAGAAATAATTAGTAGAAGTAGTATTTATTTAATATTGGTTCTCATTGGTTAATCGGGCAGATCAGGTACAAGCATTCAACAAATCGAATTTTCGCCCATTGCCTACCGGGTAGCTGAATTGAACTTACTGCAGCGAGTTACACCAAAAGGAATGGAACCATGACAATTTTTTTTTAGATTTGCCATTTTTAAAGAGCCATCCTCAGCCATGTTCGTGGGGTCAGATAGTTATAATACGGGGTTATTCAAAATGATTCATCCGATTTAAAATGGCTATAAAGATCTGACGCCATGTGATTATTTCTTTTAGGGATATGTTAAAGATACTGTGTACATACCACCACTGCAATCAAATCTAGTTGAATTGAAAAATCGAATAACAACAGCCATGTAGTCTATGCTGCAAAAAGTATGGTATGAATCTGACTACCGACTAGATGTTATTCGTGTAACCAAAAAGCTCACATAGAACATTTATAGGTACAGTTAATTAAACTTGACATATTTTTCTTTTATTTAATGTATAACATATTGTTCTAAACCTAAAAAATAAAATAATATAAGCACTTTAAATCGGATGAATCATTTTGAATAACCCTGTATATTATAACAACAATAATTATGATAGTTACTCTGGTTGGCCATTAATTATAGTGTTGCCATCATTAGTACAGACTTGAAACGCAAATCTGCTCAAACTAATAAAAATAGGTACCATCTATCACACATTTTGAATTGATCAATGTACCAACAATAATGAGTCGTTTTCAAAAATGAGCATATCAGATTTAAAAACTATTTTATATCATATATAAATATATAATACTATACTCTATTCAGAATAAAAACA